CAGCTAACAAGATAAACGACTTCTTCTCAAACATAGGATCTAATCTCGCCAGTAAAATCCCACATACCAATGCCCATGCCAGGGACTACCTAGATGGGAATTTCCCTAATTCCTTCTATCTTGCACCAACTGAGCCCACGGAAGTCATTGAGATCATAAAGTCACTTAAAAATAACTCGGGGAATCTGTCTCATGTCCCACCATTACTGTACAAGCGAGCGGCCCATGTCCTTTCGCATGCTATTTCATTACTTTTTAACAAGTCACTAGAGACTAGCACCTTCCCGAACTATCAAGATGGCAAGGGTTACACCAATACATAAAGGTGGTGACCCTACAGACTTAAACAACTATAAGCCAATATCTAACTTACCATTGCTATCCAAAATCTTGAGAAACTCGTGCACAGGAGAATTTTATTCATTTATAACGGCTCAAAACATACTCAACCCCTGCCAGTTTGGATTCAGGAAAAATAAAAGCACTAATGATGCAATCGTAAAAATGCTAGATCTGCTTTTTCACAGCATTGGAAAATAAGGAATATCCACTAGGAATTTTTATTGACCTTAGAAAAGCTTTTGACACAGTAGACCACGACATCCTACTCCACAAACTTGATCACTACGGTATAAGAGGCCATGCGCTTGCTTATTTCAAATCTTACATTACTAATAGGTATCAGTACGTCACCTTAAAGACACAGCATCAGCAAACACAGCCACTTGATACTGGAGTTCCGCAGGGAAGTGTCCTTGGTCCCCTGCTCTTCCTCATATACATCAGTGACCTTCCAAACGTATCCCAACACCTGAAACCCATTCTCTTTGCTGATGACACGACTTATGTCATCTCTCACCCTAATCTTGCCACCCTCAACACCATTGTGAATGAGGAGCTGATTTAAATATCGATTGGATGACAGCCAATAAACTTACGCTTAACACTGACAAAACCTACTATATTATGTTTGGTAGCAGAGCAGGAGATGCACAAATTAACATTAAGATTGACAACACTCTAATTACCAGAAATAATGGGGGAAAATTCCTGGCTTATACCTTGACAACAACCTGAAATTTCAGCACCCATATCCAGCATATAGCCAAAAAAGTATCCAAACAGTTGGGATCCTCTCCAAGATACGATACTACGTGCTGCAAAATGCCCTTCTCACACTATACCACTCACTTATTTATCCATACCTCACCTATGCTATTTGTGCTTGGGGATCAACTGCAGCAACACACCTAAAGCCAATAATAACCCAACAAAAGCTGCAGTAAGAATAATCACTAAATCCATCCCTGGCAACACACACCCCCCACTCTTCATAGATCTAAACTTACTCCAGTTCAGTACATCCACACTTACTACTGTGCAATCTATATCTACAGGGCCTTAAACTCTAATATCAACCTTGACCTAAAACGCTTTCTTGATAGTTGTGACAGAACCACAGGCATAACACCAGACACAAACATCTCTACGACATTCCCGTGTCCGACTAAACCTTTACAAAAATTAAATGTATGTCAAAGGCCCTAAAATCTGGAATACCCTACCTGAGAACTCTAGAACTGCAGACACATTCATCACCTTCAAAACTACCATTAGAAAACATCTTATCTCCCTGATACACCCCGTCAACTAACTACACGAATACCACCTGGTGGTTCACACTTACACTCACTCACTCATTTGACCATAAACAGAAATATTAATCTCAGTCTTAAAATCCTGTGATACTCCAATACTGAAACTATGTACTGTGCCAAAACAAAAGCATTCACATTGCTAAACTCACAAACTAGTATTTAGTCACTTAGCCATAATACCAACTTACCTCATAATTTGTAATATTTTACAATTAAGACCCCTCAAGGAAGGTTCCTTGATGTTGGTGAGGGGCTCTTGATTTAGGGAATTGGATCTGTGCTCCAGTTCCCCGAATTAAGCCTGAATGCCTTCCACATCCCCCTCCCAGGCGCTGTATAACCCTCCGGGTTTAGCGCTTCCCCCTTGATTATAATAATAATAATTACAATTAAGAATAAAACTAAGTCTGCCCGAAATGCCTAGCCATGCTAGGCATTCTAGTGGTACACTCTGTAATCATTATTTTACTACATGTAAACCACACAACAACCAAATTTCTGTAAACTCAGCATTGTAATCCTTATAGAGAATAAACTTTGAATTTGAATTTGAATTTGTACCTAGTTCAGCTATCAAAACTTTGGGGCCCAGTCCCTGGACCCATTACGTACCTCTGTAATCTGTAAATACCTTTGTAACTTGTCATGATTGTGACCAGACCTACCTGGAGTTCATTACCTTTGTAAATTGTGATCTCATTACCTTTGTAAATTGTGAGTTCATTACCTTTGTAATCTGCTCAGCTATCAAAACATTGAGGCCCAGTCCCTGGACCCATTATGTGCCTCTGTAATCTTTTGACTACCGCCCACAGGATGGGTATGGGGTGCATAATAAACATATTAAACTAACATGTACCTGGAGTATAACTTGAGAGGGTTTTGGGGATCAACGCCCCCATGGCCTGGCCTGTGACCAGGCCTCGTGGTGGATCAGGGTCTGATCAATCGGGATGTTACTGTTGGCAGCGTATAAACCGATGTACGAACCACAGCCCGGCTGATCAGGTACCGACTTTAGATGCCTGTCCATCACCTTAAAGACAACCAGGCAATTAAACAGTCTTGTGCCACTGACACTTATTGTGTTGTCTCTTAGTGTAGTTGTGGCACCCTTACTTTTCATTGGAGTGATGTTGCAACTGCTGAGTCTTTTGCTTTTGTAGGAAGTGATTTTCGTGTGCAAATTTGGTACTAATCCCTCTAGAATTTTCTAATTGTATATTATCATGTATTTTTCTCTACTTTGTTCCAGGGAATACAAATCAAAGGACTTCAACCGTTCCCAGTAATTTAGATGCTTTATTTAACTTGTGTGTGCCATTTTCTGTACATTCTTCAGGTCAGCAGTTTTGCCAGCCTTGAAGGGGGGCTGTTAGTGTACAGCAGTATTACAGCCCAGAGAGAACAAGCAATTTGAAAAGAATCATGGGCTTGGCATCCCTAGTTTTGAAGGTTCTCATTATCCATCCTATCATTTTTTAGCAGATGTGGTAGATACATTGTTGTGGTCTTTGAAAGTGAGATCCTCTGACATTATCACGCCTAGGTCCTTCACATTAGTTTTTCGCTCTATCCTGTGGTTGAAATTTGTTTTATACTCCGATAAAGTTTTAATTTCTTCAAGTTTTCCATATCGGAGTAATTGAAATTTCTCTTCATTGGATTTCATATTGTTTTCTGCGGCCCAGTCCCCTCAAGGAAGGTTCCTTGATGTTGGTGAGGGGCTCTTGATTTAGGGAATTGGATCTGTGCTCCAGTTCCCCGAATTAAGCCTGAATGCCTTCCACATCCCCCCCCAGGCGCTGTATAATCCTCCGGGTTTAGCGCTTCCCCCTTGATTATAATAATAATAATCTGCGGCCCAGTTAAAGATTGGTTGATGTCCGCTTGGAGTCTTGCAATGTCTTCGATGGAGGACACTGTCATGGAAATTCAGGTGTCATCTGCATAGGAAGACACGGAGCTATGGTTTACATCTGTTTATGTCAGATATGAGGAACAGGATGGGAGTACTGTGCCTTGTGGAACAGAGCTTTTCACTATAGCCTCCTCAGACTTTGCTCTGTTTACTATTACTCTTTGTGTTCTATTTGTTAGGAAGTTACAGATCTCCCAACTTTTCCTCTTATTCCTTTATCACAAATTTTGTGCTCTATTACACCATGGTTGCACTTGTTGAAGGCTTTTGCAATGTCTGTGTATACTACATCTACATTTTGTTCATCCTCTAGAGCATCTAGGACCTTGTCATAGTGGTCCAGTAGTTGGGACAGGCAGGAGCGACCTGCTCTAAATCTGTGTTGCCCTGGGTTATTTAACTGATGGGTGTCTAGGTTAGTGGTGATCTTGCTTCTTAGAGCGCTTTCAAAGATTTTTATGATACGGGATGTTAGCGCTATTTGTCTATAGTTCTTTGCAATTGCTTTACTGCCCCCTTTGTGGAGTGAGGCTATACCCATAACATTGTGCCCTCAAAATCTTTAAAAAAAAAAAAAAGTATTTGTTATATGAAATACCCAAGTAAAAGCTTAAGCACCATAATGTCAAGGTTTTGCTTCATATCCTGACACCTAGTTTAATCATTCTAGCAGTGCTGTAGTTTCTAATACATGGGTACTGCTGCCACACACGATTTCAGTCACAGTATATGTATGACCTTCTCCATTCCTTCCTTTTCGTTACACATCAGCGATGGTACTCAAAACTTAGCATACTAAAAGTGAGGAAAAGAAAGGTGACAGTAATTATGAAAATGTCTAGGCGGTGTTGTCATCCAAACTTTGACCAGAGTTGGTGCCTGGTGTTTCCTACAAACAATATTGCGAGCAGTGATTACTATACTACATGGATATGGATTTTAACCCCTCGACCCTGAATAAGTAGATTCTACTACTTTTTTGCCTAAATATTTGGTTTTAAAAGCTTTACCCATACCTATGATTCCTAACTAGTCACAAGTTTCCCTGTGATACTCCAATATAGAAACTATGTATTGTGCCAAAACAAAAGCATTCACATCTCTCAAACTAGTATTTAGTCACTTAGTATTTAGTCAACTTACTCCACAATTTGTAATAATTTAGGGTTAAGAATTAATCTTAAGTTTGCCCGAAAGGCCTAGCCTTGCTAGGTGTTCTAGTGGCCCCCTCTGTAATTAGTATTTTATTACATGTAAACCACACAATAACCAAAATCTGTAAACCCCACATTGTAATCCGTATAGAGAATAAACTTTGATTTGATTTGATACATGAGTACTATATATGCCATAGGAATATACGCACATACTATATTTGTAAGTTTAGTACATTTATGCTCATAATTGTTTGAATATCACAGACAACAGAGAGCCTATCCACCTGGGGAGGAGTAATCGAGGCTGAGGAAGATGCTCCTACGTTGCTGCCTTCTACACACCAGCCTCCTTCCACACATGAGCCGCCAAGCATACACCTGCCACAAGACAATAAGCCCGTAGTAGATGCAGCTGTGGATAAGACAATAAAGCCCTTGGATGAGAGACTAAGTGAAGAAGAGCCGCTTAAAGAGACAAAAGAGGATATTATGGCAGATGAAATGTACTCAACTGAGGTACCAACCACCATCATACCCAAGGCTCAAGCCTATGCTCCCTCCAGCAGTGAGTAGGCTTACAGTGAAGACTCTTCCTAATAATAATTTAGCCTGATGAATTATTATTCCATTGAAGTATAATTTTCCAAGTTGTTTAATAAGTCTTTTTTATCCCTATTCAGTATCTAGGATTTATATTTAACCTATTTCCAATTTGTTTAAAATTTAATATACATGTATTTTTTAGTTGATATTCAACAAGTTTTCTTATAAACTTCCTCTATATAGTGTGATTTTTTGTAATTGTAATTGAAAAAGCGCATCCAAAAATTGAATATCACGTTAAGAGAGAACTTCATAGTACATACTAATAAATTTTAAATGCAATTTTCGGGTGCATTGGCAAAAACTCGATGTATAGTTTTATAAATGAGGTGTATGTATTATTTGTCATGAAGGCAGTAAACCATTGTTGCAGTCATGAGTTGTAATGACTATTGTGATGTGTGCCGGTGATAATTATTTCACTGGTCAGGTTTGAGAGTGTGCCCTGGAGTGTGTGTGGCCAACCGCATCAGTGAGTACTGTGAAGCTGCCCTCGATGTCAACCAGCTGTGTAGGTCAGGACTACGATGTTGTGTGTCAGGTGACCTCTTTCTTGACGTTGATGAACCACCTAAAGAGTTTGTTCTCCTCAATCCTAAGAAGTCGACGGAGAAGACAGAGGTTGGTTGGTACACAGTAATGCCAGTCTCACTTTCCACATTCACCATAACATTATCCATCATAAAATTAGTTGATTGGATATAACAGGTACCAAATTAATACCTTAATGTGTTTAAACACAAGTTTAATAAAGCAGGATTCAACAATGAATGCATTTTCTCTTTTTGGATCACCATACATTAACGGGAGACACAGTGTGTTAAAAATGCTATAACTGTATTAACACTATAGTATATATTTCTTTCTAACAGTTATAATATATCAAGGAAACTGAATTATGAGCTGGAAACATTGGTAAACACAAGACAAGAAAGTATAGTTGTCAGTTATTGAAGTACAAAACAAGCACAGAGTATATCTTTATCTGTCTCAGCAGACAGTTGAGGAGCGACAAGGGCCATGTATATATTGTGCCGAAAAGGTAAAACTTGCAGTTTTGACCTAAACAGCAACGCTCATCTTGCCGAATATGGCAAGCGAAAATATGTGTTTACCTGGAGAGAGTTCCGGGGGTCAACGCCCCCGCGGCCTGGTCTGTGACCAGGCCTCCTGGTGGATCAGAGCCTGATCAACCAGGCTGTTGCTGCTGGCTGCACGCAAACCAACGTACGAGCCACAGCCCGGCTGGTCAGGAACCGACTTTAGGTGCTTGTCCAGTGCCAGCTTGAAGACTGCCAGGGGTCTGTTGGTAATCCCCCTTATGTGTGCTGGGAGGCAGTTGAACAGTCTCGGGCCCCTGACACTTATTGTATGGTCTCTTAACATGCTAGTGACACTCCTGCTTTTCATTGGGGGGATGGTGCATCGTCTGCCAAGTCTTTTGCTTTCGTAGTGAGTGATTTTCGTGTGCAAGTTCGGTACTAGTCCCTCTAGGATTTTCCAGGTGTATATAATCATGCATCTCTCCCTCCTGCGTTCCAGGGAATACAGGTTTAGGAACCTCAAGCGCTCCCAATAATTGAGGTGTTTTATCTCTGTTACGCGCGCCGTGAAAGTTCTCTGTACATTTTCTAGGTCGGCAATTTCACCTGCCTTGAAAGGTGCTGTTAGTGTGCAGCAATATTCCAGCCTAGACAGAATAAGTGACCTGAAGAGTGTCATCATGGGCTTGGCCTCCCTAGTTTTGAAGGTTCTCATTATCCATCCTGTCATTTTTCTAGCAGATGCGATTGATACAATGTTATGGTCCTTGAAGGTGAGATCCTCCGACATGATCACTCCCAGGTCTTTGACGTTGGTGTTTCGCTCTATTTTGTGGCCAGAATTTGTTTTGTACTCTGATGAAGATTTAATTTCCTCATGTTTACCATATCTGAGTAATTGAAATTTCTCATCGTTGAACTTCACATTGTTTTCTGCAGCCCACTGAAAGATTTGGTTGATGTCCGCCTGGAGCTTTGCAGTGTCTGCAATGGAAGACACTGTCATGCAGATTCGGGTGTCATCTGCAAAGGAAGACACGGTGCTGTGGCTGACATCCTTGTCTATGTCGGATATGAGGATGAGGAACAAGATGGGAGCGAGTACTGTGCCTTGTGGAACAGAGCTTTTCACCATAGCTGCCTCGGACTTTACTCTGTTGACGACTTTCCTCTGTGTTCTGTTAGTGAGGAAATTATAGATCCATCGACCGACTTTTCCTGTTATTCCTTTAGCACTCATTTTGTGCGCTATTACGCCATGGTCACACTTGTCGAAGGCTTTTGCAAAGTCTGTATATATTACATCTGCATTCTTTTTGTCTTCTAGTGCATTTAGGACCTTGTCGTAGTGATCCAATAGTTGAGACAGACAGGAGCGACCTGTTCTAAACCCAATAATTTTGCAAAAATCATTCGGAACCTAACGAAAAAAATACATTTCATTGTGTTTAATATTAAACTATTGTAAACTTATCTAAAATATATTTAGTTGGATTAGGCTAAATTAAATTGAGCTTGTTATAATAAGGTTACATAAGTTTTCTAATTTTTTTTAGTACAAAATTATTAATTTTTACATTAACATTAAGGAAAAAAATATCTTTAAACGTATAAGAGAAAATTTTAGAAAGGACTTAATTTTAAATGAATTCTTGTTAATTGACTGGTTTTACCTATTCGGCACGACGTGTGTGTGTGTGTGTGTGTGTGTGTGCATACTTAACAATTAGCAAACAGGTGAAATTACACTATGTAACACAATTTTTTGTTCCTGGCAAGTTAGTATTATTTTCCAACTCCTTTTATTGCAAAACAACAGAAAATGCCAATTATTTCTTTTAAACTTTGCTCGTGTGGCTTACGGGATGAATTTTTGACAAAAAATGGCTAGAGTTCAATATTTTTTACTAGTTTTGGATGTAAAACAAAAATATATAATAAAATAAATAAAATTTACACAAATTTTATTTTAAACTTTCTGAAACATATTTACAAAGTTAAAAATGAGTAGTTTTTCTAGATTTGCGATCATGCAACACATCACTTTCTCGTTTAAGCTCCCAAATGTAGTCTGCCATCATGTTTTCATTATAAGATCCCTGATATATGTGTTCAAAGTCCATTATATTTTGGTGGAAGTGCTTCCCTTGCTTCTCTGAGCATGCTCACATATCTCCTTGATATTGTCAAGATGAGCATCAAATATATGGACCTTAAGACATCCTACAGCCCATTTGACCATAGTTTTTTACCAAGGTCTCAACAAGTTCCACATAATTGTCAGCCTTGTTGTTGCCCAGAAGCCCGGAAAGCCTTGTGCTACAACAACAGAACTCTCCCAGGCTTCCTTTTCCTTCTCTGTGAGCTTGGAAATTCTGAGCACTTATCACTGGCCTTGTGGTCCAGTGACAATGCCAGCCTTGACCTTTGTCTCTGATATCTTGAGAAAGAAGTCTTGAAGATACTTGAAGGCTGCAGACTCTTTGTCAAGTGCTGTAACCAACTGTTTCATTAGCCCTAGTTTGATGTGTAATGGAGGGAACAGATGCTTTTGAGGATCCATCAATGGTTTATGTTTGATATTATGTCTTCCTACTGAGAACTCTGCCCTTTGAGGCCATTGCTTCCTCTGGTAATGTGCTGCTCTGTCTCTACTATCTCAGTGACAGAGATAACAGGGGAACTTGGTAAAACCTCCTTGGTTAAGTCTCCAATAACTTCCCAGCCGTACTTATAGTAGTTCAAAGCTTCCAGTAGAAGTTTGACACTGTTGTAGTCCTCTTTAAGATGCACTGAATGAGCCAAGGGAAGAGAAGGATACTTGTTTCTGTTGTGCAGAAGTACAGCTTTTAAGCTTCTGAAGGAGCAGTCAATAAAGAGTCTCCACTCATACAGATTGCATGTAATTCCACTTGCATCAAACAGGCCTGATAAATCATTACAGTAGCACAACCTGTCTTCATTAGGGAAGAAGCTTGAGGAATGTTGATGTTTTCTTTGGCTTGTCACTTGCACACTTACATCCACCAAGTCCCACTCCTTGAGCCTTGAAATCAAAAGCTCAGCATTTGATTTTGTCATACCAAGATCTCTGATAAGATCATTGAGGTCTGTTTGGTTTGGGTAGTAAGGATTCCTCCCAACAGCTGCATCTGTCAGATCATAGTCATGTTGACTGTATACTTTCATTTCTGATTTGCTGCTTTCTTCTGACAGTTGACTTCTTTCTGGAGGTGTAGGTACAGGGAGTCAGCACTGTGTAGTACTGGTGCAATAGAAGAGGGAACATCTGGATAAGAAATAGCAGATGCATTTTTCCAAGTTCAGCATTTGGAAGGATCCACCAGACAGAAGCAACAGTTGGTTGAGTGATCAGTGGGTTCATGTCATATTCTAGGGACACCAAACTTCATGGCTCTTTTTTCTCCTCTATACCATCCTATAAAAGAACATAAGAATTAGTTTCTCTTATATACATTCCATTTAAAACATGTTCCTATTCAAGATTTTACCCTTCATATAACTAATGACTTTCTTACCTTCCAATGTTTTCTTACAATGTTCACAAGCAACATGAGGTGCCCAGGTCTTGTCTTGGTCCACAACTGGCATGCCAAAATATGCTTTGTAAGCTTCACACATTTTTTTGAGATGCTGTTAGAGAACTTCTTTGCTCTTACCTTAATGAATTGACCACATATGTAGCAGAATACATCTAGAGAATGATTGCTGCCTCTTGATGCCGGTCATTTCTTCTGATGTGTCTTCTCAGGTAGCCAGAGCTGAACTGAATGCTGGTTTGTGAGCCCCTGTTTTTATATTTGCCAAGCAAAACCCTAAAGCATAATAGTTTTACATCAGTCTTTCTTGAAAGTGTTCCAGAAGTGTTCTGACCACAAAAGCAAAGTTCTGGGATCAAAATTGCTCTTTTAAATTTTATTTAGTTATAAAGAATTAGGAAATGATGCTTATTTCCCAGAAACACGACAAAAGTGAAATTTTGTTACATAGTGATGAGTGAGGACTCATCATTGTATTTTTCATTACGTATTTTCTTATAAGATTTGATTGCAGTGTTTATAATTATATTAACCAATTGGTAATAATGAATATAATTAGTTATGGTGTTGGAACTTTTGTAATTTATAAACCTTGCATAAGCACTATCAAAATTTATTGAAAGTTAATTATAGTAAATATTTTAGTCTTTATCAATAACATTCCCAGGATGTGAGAGAGCAAGAGAGAACAAGCACAGAGAGACCCACTACCATCACCACAAGTGCCACTACATCCAGAAGCACTCATCTCACCACAGTCTACACCCGCCACACAGTGCCTACCACCAAACCACCCAGAGACATCCCACAAGAGATACGCTGCAAGGGCACGTGTGTTGCTGGCTTCTTTGCCTTTCTGTGTGATGAAATTGACCGCTTTGGTGTATGTCCCAGAGGTGGCCGGTGTTGCGTTACCCAAAGACGACAACCCAAACCCAAACCGTCCACCAACTCCTCTGAACCTGTACCTACAACCACTACAAAAACAACTACATCCCAACCTATGCTGTTGCCCTCAACTCGTCCCCTACCTCCCTGCCCGGGTAACTGCCTTCCTGCTCTGGTTTCATCCTTTTGCAGTCAGCCCTCAGTTTTGATCAAGGCTTCTGGGTGCAAGGACGGAACTGTGTGCTGTGATAATCGTGCTGAGACTCAGACCCCGGCACCTCCAGCATCTCCTGCCAGTGAACCATATGAACCAACACCACCTGCCAGAGAGCCATACCATCCAGAACCACCTGCAAGGGAACCATTCCAGCCACCACCTGCAAGGGAACCATACCAGCCAGAACCACCTGCAAGGGAACCATATCAGCCACCACCACCTGCGAGGGAACCATACCGTCCACAACCTCCTCCAGAGAGACCCATCCCCCAAGCATTTGAGACATTTGCTTCACTTTTCACACGACCACCTTCACCTTCTAGACCAGTGGATAGACCCTATAGACCACGACCCACTCAGCCACCACCACCTCCAACAACCACAACTACGACCACCACTACCACTACTACCACGACTACCACCACAACACCTGCACCAACAACTGAGCCACCAGATTTGCGAGCTGAATGTCCTGGTACCTGCATACAACCATTCCTCTCTTTCACTTGTTTTGGTAAGGACCTTTGTAACTCATCATCCAACTTGTGGATATTCATTTTCTTCTGTTGCCATCCTGTGTCACTTTAACACATTAAGTCCATCATCTATTTGCCACTTTGCCTCCTCGTCTTATGTAAGTCTTCTTGTAGAGAATTAGTCTTCTTTGTTATTTATTTTTCATAGTATTTCTGCATCATTGATAAGATTTGTAGTTTTTCAGTTTGTCTTGTAAATTATTTATGTAAATTATAAACATTTGGGTCAGTACTGATTTTCATGGAGTGTCACTGGTAACATTTTTCACATGTAAAGTAAAAGGACATAATTGCAACTAATGTGACATTTTTATTGTGGCAACGTTTCACTCTCCAGGAACTTTATCAAGCCGTGGAGAGCGAAACGTTGCCACAATAAAAATGTCACATTAGTTGTACTTGTGCCCTTTTACTTTACATATTGTCAGTAATTCTACCAACTTTATTACAATTTTTGACATGAGAACATTTTTCCTCATTACTGTTTTCATTTTACTCACAGCTAAAAAATTTCATACCTTATAGCAGTTTACTTTGTATTCCTCACAAATTTTGTAGTTTTCTTATAAGTCTTGTATGGGAACTCTAACAGCTTACTTGAAATCCTAATCCCTCAGTGGAGTGGAGGCATGGGTTCCCTTGTTATTGGTGAAATGAAGCTACCCTTCAGTGTTAATCCCATATGGGATTAACACTTTCCTTTGAATATAATAATAGATGAAATCATAATACGTGTTTTGCTCATTTATCTGCCTCCACTACTTCATGGTCATTCTACTTCCCAGTCACTGAAACTGAAGAAATACTTGACATCCCTGTGACTCATCTGTGTCTTTAACTTCCAGCTGTGTCCCTGAGTACTTGCCTCAGCCTCCCAAACAGCCTGTTACTCTCTACCATATTCACCTAATTGTGGTTGCAGGGGTCGATGCTCCTTGCCCTGCCTCTTCACTGGTTACTGCTAGGTCCACTCTCTCCCTTCTCCATGAGCCTTATCATACCTCTTCTTAAAGGTGACTTTTTTGGGTTATCCTAGGTTCTCTACACATATGATGCTGTGTAAGATAATCTATGTAACGGTATTTGTGTATACCTGAATAAACTTACTTTGTATGGATCCTGCCTCAACTACACTCTCCAGACTGTTCCACTTCCTGACAATTCTATGGCTAAAGAAAAACTTCCTAACATCTCTGTGATTCATCTGAGTCTTCTTCAGAGTATTTTATATGTTATTGTATCTCTCCTGGTTCTTCTTTCCTAAATTGCCTTTAGATTCAATTCCTTTAGCCTTCTCGTAACTCATGCCCCTTAGCTCTGGAAAAAGCTTTGTTTCTTTAACAAAGAAACATGCTTTTTTGAGGTGTTAGTTCCATGCTGGTGCTGCATACTCCAAGATGGGCCTGACTTATGTTGCACAAAGAGCCCAAGTAACGTCATTGAAGCTAAAGCTTTGTGTAGTTACACAAATACATGAATGGGTGTGAGTTGGGCCTGACAGGCCAGTAGGCCTGCTGCAGTGTTCCTTCTTTCTTATATATATTCAAAGTTTATACTCCATGTCTGCTTCTTTCCTTTCCTTTTCCCCAATCTTCATAATCTTTCATTTGCTGTGGTTGAATTCAAGCAACATTTTATCTGACCAAGCTTACAGTTGGTCCAGATCCATTGGTAGCCTTTTTCTGTCCTCGTGTATTTTTTAGCCTTTGCATTAGGGCTGAATGGTACTGCCCTTGATACTGGCCATGTAGTCAGAAACTGTAAGGCTGGAGATGATGTCCTGGTAGTCAGTAAATGGGGGGCTGATAGTGCTGTCCTGGGAGACAGTAATGGGGAAGCTGGAGGTGCTGTCCTGGGGGACAGTAATGGTGAAGCTGGAGGTGCTGTCCTGGGAGACAGTAATGGTGAAGCCGGAGATGCTGTCCTGGGAGACAGTAATGGGGAAGCTGGAGATGCTGTCCTGGGAGACAGTAATGGTGAAGCTGGAGATTTTGTCCAGGTAGTCGGGAATTATACGCAGGAAGGAATACATATGAATGACCGCATAGGGGACAGGAGCCATAGTAGGGAAACAAGTGTAGTCAAAGATAAGATAAAACCAATATTGCAAACTAGAAATACCGCAGGAAATAGCAAACAAGAGGACTCCACTAGCAATAGTGAGGATATATTACCAAAAACAAATGGTGGGAGCTCCATTGTTGGTGCTAGGGAGGATAGAAGTAAGACAGGGAAATATGCACCAACAGGGAATACAGTCACAGAAACCCAAGGCAAACGGAAACCAAGCCTGTGCACATACTATGCACTCGGTATCTGCTGGCATGGGAAATCTGGAAAAACAGATGGGACGTGCAACTATGACCACCCTAGGAAATGTCATGCCCATATGACAACAGGAAAATGCAAACTCCCTTCCTGTAAGCTTTTTCACCTGAACTGTGTACCTCTTCAGTACAGGAAAGACTGTGCTATAACTTAATTGCCAGGCATACCATCTAAAGGGGACAAAAAGATACAAAACATCCAGGCCATGGGAAAAACCGGGGTAGCCACAGCCACTCAAGAGGGAGAGGTTTTTTAGTGCCAGGAAGGTAAAAAAACTGGCAGGAAATGGCAGAAATCGTACACCAAATCCAGTCATTCCTGGAGTGGAACCACAGTCGATGGCCTCCACTCCAAAACCAACAGATACAGATACTAATGCCGGAAAAAAAATCCCCCCCCAGTACCAACAATACCACCAGTCCGATAACATTCTTCTTTGCAAATATACAGGGTCTAAAGCCAGCAACAAACAACAAAATACCTTTCATCCGTGGACTGCTTGCAGAGGCAAAGGCAATGTTCGCGGCTTTCACTGAGACCCACATAAAGGATCACTTGGACAACGAAATATGGATCCCAGGGTTTCAACCTATACAGATGTGACAGAGTGAACAGGCAAAAGGGGGGGGGTTGGCCTGTACATTGCAGAGTCACTTGTTTGCACAGAACTGCTAAATGCCTCAAATGATGTAGTGGAAGTTTTTTGCAGTAAAGGTCGAGAACCAAAACCTAGTCATTGTGATAGTCTACAAGCCTCCGGATGCAACATCCCCGCAATTCCAGGAACAGCTGTTAAAAATTGACCACTGTCTGGAAAACCTTCCAGCTCCTGCACCCAACATCTTGCTCCTGGGGGATTTCAACTTAAGGCACCTAAAATGGAGGAATATAGCAAATAATATTGTTGCAGTATAACACCAGGAGGCAGCTCTGATGAAAACTCACACTCACGCGAGCTTTTAAATCTCTGCACAAAATTCAATTTAAACCAGCAAATAATAGAGCCTACTAGACTGGAGAATACACTAGACCTCATCTTCACTAACAATGATGATCTGATAAGAAATATCACCATATCAAAAACAATATACTCAGATCACAACATAATTGAGGTTCAGTCATGTATGCGCGGAGCCCCAGACCGACATAATGAGATTAGTCACGAGGGAGCATTCACCAAATTCAACTTCAATAACAAAAACATAAAGTGGGACCAAGTAAACCAAGTCCTAACCGATATAAGCTGGGAAATATACTAAGCAACACAGACCCCAACTTATGCCCAGAACAGATTAACTCGGTAGCACTCGATGTATGCACAAGGCTTATTCCTCTAAGAAAAAGGAGGAGTAGATGTAAAACAGAAAGAGACAGGCGCTCCCTTTACAGGCGACGGAAAAGATATACAGAGACGGCTAAAAGAGGTCAATATATCTGAAATGCGTTAGGGAGACACTGGTCAGAGGAAATAGCAAGCATCGAACTTAAGCTAAAAGAATCCTTTAGGAGTCAGGAATCGCGGGAAAGAACTAAAGCCATAAATGAAATCGAAAGAAACCCAAAGTATTTCTTCTCCTATGCCAAATCAAATCGAGAACAACGTCCAGTATTGGGCCCCTACTTAAAACAAGATGGGTCCTACACAGATGACAACAAGGAAATGAGTGAGCTACTCAAGTCCCCAATATGACTCAGTTTTTAGCAAGCCGCTAACCAGACTGAGAGCTCGAAGATCAAATGAATTTTTTATGAGAGAGCCACAGAATTTGATTAACACAAGCCTATCCGATGTTATCCTGACACCAAATGACTTCGAACGGCGATTAAATGACATGCCCATGCACTCTGCCCCAGGGCCAGACTCATGGAACTCTGTGTTCATCAAGAACTGCAAGAAGCCCCTCTCACGAGCCTTTTCCATCCTATGGAGAGGGAGCATGGACACGGGGGTCGTCCCACAGTTACTAAAACAACAGACATAGCCCCACTCCACAAAGGGGGCAGTAAAGCAACAGCAAAGAACTACAGACCAATAGCACTAACATCCCATATCATAAAAATCTTTGAAAGGGTCTAAGAAGCAAGATCACCACGCATCTAGAAACCCATCAGTTACACAACCCAGGGCAACATGGGTTTAGAACGGTCGCTCCTGTCTGTCTCAACTATTGGGACCACTACGACAAGGTCCTAAATGCACTAGAAGACAAAAGAATGAGATGTAATATATACAGACTTTGCAAAAGCCTTCGACAAGTGTGACCATGGCGTTAATAGCGCACAAAATGCGTGCTAAAGGAATAACAGGAAAAGTCGGTCGATGGATCTATAATTTCCTCACTAACAGAACACAGAGAGTAGTCGTCAACAGAGTAAAGTCCGAGGCAGCTACGGTTGAAAAGCTCGTTCCACAAGGCACAGTACTCGCTCCCATCTTGTTCCTCATCCTTATATCCGACATAGACAAGGATGTCAGCCACAGCACGTGTCTTCTTTGCAGATGACACCCGAATCTGCATGACAGTGTCTTCCATTTCAGGACACTGCAAAGCTCCAGGCAGACATCAACCAAATCTTTCAGTGGGCTGCAGAAAACAATATGAAGTTCAACGATGAGAAATTTCAATTACTCAGATATGGTAAACATGAGGAAATTAAATCTTCATCAGAGTACAAAACAAATTCTGGCCACAAAATAGAGCGAAACACCAACGTCAAAGACCTGGGAGTGATCATGTCGGAGGATCTCACCTTCAAGGACCATAACATTGTATCAATCGCATCTGCTAGAAAAATGACAGGATGGATAATGAGAACCTTCAAAAACTAGGGAGGCCAAGCCCATGATGACACTCTTCAGGTCACTTGTTCTATCTAGGCTGGAATATTGCTGCACACTAACAGCACCTTTCAAGGCAGGTGAAATTGCCGACCTAGAAAATGTACAGAGAACTTTCACGGCGGATAACGGAGAATAAAACCCCTCTTTTTTATTGGGAGCGTTTTGGGGTTTCCCTAAACCTGTTTTCCCCTGGAACGCAGGAGGGAGAGATAATGATTAAAAACCCTGGAAAACCTGAGGGATAGTACGAACTTGCACAAAAAAATCCCCCACACGAAAGAAAAAAGACTTGGCAGCGAGCCCCATCCCCCAAAAAAAGCGGGGTGTCACTAGCACGTTAAGGACCATACAATAGTGTCGGGGGCCCCCCGAGGCTGTTCAACTGCCCCCCGCCCACATGGGGGGGGATTACAACAGACCCCGGGCAGTTTTCAAGTGGCCGGACAAGCACCTAAGTCAGTTCGGTCAGCCGGGCTGTGGCTCGTTTTTGGGTTTTTGCGTAGCCGAGAAACCCCTGGTTGATCAGGTCTGATCCCCCGGGAGGCCTGGTCTCAACGGGCCGCGGGGGCTTGCCCCCCCCGGAACTCCTCCAGGTAAAATTCCAGGTATCCCTCACCAAATAGGGATATACAGATTTGTCCCATCGGTTATCTTCACATTAACTAAACAGACTGTTTTTAAAATTCTGATTTTTTGAAACCCCTGCTAGTTACTCTTCCCCTTTCTGACTTTTTCCAAAAATTCATTATAGCTTCCTTTTCCCCAAAAAATGCAAATTACTCTTAATTTGTTCGTTTGTAGATGTAAAAATGTAAGAAACTAAATTTATTTACATGTTCATTCCTTTGTACTAGTTCAGCTATTAAAACTTTGGGGGCCAGTCCGGGCCCCTTATATACCTCTGTAATCGAAAAATACCTTTGTAATTGTCATGATTGTGGCAGATCTACCTAAAGTTCTTTACCTTTGTAATTTGATTGCTATAAAATTTGGGGCCCAGTCTTGGACCCATTATGTCCCTTGTATTTTTTGGGGACTACTGCCCACAGGTGGGTATGGGGGCATAATAAACATTTAAATAAAAACTTCCCTAGGTTTGTTTTTTACATCCCCTAAAGTTTTTGCCCCTCTTTGTATGAAGTACGTATAATTCTTTTGCAGTTCCTCTGGTAGAATTCAGTATATTAGGAACGTGTGTCCTTGCAGAACCCCTTTAAATACTCCCCCATCCTATCTCATTTCTTCACTGTGTTTTTCCCATTCAGGAAATCCTGACCCTCTGAAGCACTCTGCCTTAGAACCCTGCCTGTTTCTCTAATTCCTGGACATATCTTGTGTGTGTGGTACTGTCAAATGATTTCCTGCAGCTCAAAAAAGGGTGAAATCTGCCCCGCCCCATCTTTCTTCTGTATCTTGTAGCCCTTTAAAAAAACAAAAGATTTCAAAGGGATTTTCCATTCCCAAATGCATGTGGGTTTTTTCAAGGGAATCTCTCCCCGTATTTTTTTCTACTATTTTCTTCATAACTTTGACAGTATGAATGTTAAAGATGCCAGGCTTCTGTTTCACTGCCTTTTGTTTATCCTCTTTTTTATATGCTGTACAATATGGGGATCTCATTTGCCATCTTTCCCAGTTTTCTGGCACTTGTCTTGATTGCAGAGATTGACTGATTCAAATTTCTATTAGATTACACAGTGGTTCTGCTTTTTCAGCACACATGGGGTACTGTTATCTTTTCATATTGCTTTTTTGGTGCATTTTTTAGTGAAGCATTTCTAGTTGTAAAAGTGATTTTTTTAAAATCAGCACAGTTGTGTGCTGAATTCATTTGTGCTTCAGTTTTCCCTTTTGCAATGTGGTACATCCATATGTATGCTACACAAGTGTTGAAGAATACAGGATCTAATAATTATACATACAGCATACAATATAGTAGCATACCAAGTGTTGAAAACTCAGGGTCTAATAATTATACATTACAGATACAATATGATTGTTTTTATATCCACACACCCTGGAATGCAAAAATACAGGAATATTTTTGGGCCTTGTTTAGGAATTTTGAGATGACAGACCTGTTCCATGCAGTTAAAAACCCGACGAATGTTTGCTCACCTAAATCTGCTCTCAGAGATGTTCTCGGTTGAAGAAATTGAAAAACTGCCCGGGAAAGACACATTCTGTCTATCCTTTTTGAAGGGGTCTTACATTCAGTCTTATGGCCAACCTGGATATGAACACACTGTGTATGAAGAAAGTTCGTTTGACACTTCAAATTATCCTCCATATGAGCAGCCACCTCATGAGCAACCAGTGTATGAACAACCCCAGTTTGAGCATCATAACTATGAACAGCCTTATGAGCAACCGCCATACGAGCATTCACCTTATGAACAACCTCCATACGAGCATCCACAATATGAACATCCACCATATGGGCAGCCTTCCCATAAACCACCTTACGAACAGCCTCCATACCAACAATACCAGCCAGAGCAACAACATGAGCGCCCATATACTCCATTGTCAAATATTACACGAGGTAATGATAACCTTAAATATCAGCTCTTGTTATTCTTTACACAAATCAATTTTACAGGCTAAAGATTAAAGATTTTTTATTATTTCAGCCAGATACAATGTTTGTACAGAAGTGGGTGACATTTAGGTGTGCATGCAGAAAGCCCCTTAGTATACAGAGAATTTCAGGCAAAATATGCAGAGCACTTCAAAGCCCAGTTCTGAGGTATACTACCATCCCCTGGGATTCAACCCAAACAATCAGTTAACACCCAGGGGTGTAAAAAATTTAGTTCGGTAATCTTGATAAAAGGTACTTTAATAAGATTGATGAACAGAACACATCAACTCCAGGTTGAGAGACTGATTACCTCAAACTCCTCCTCATGTTCCACCATTCTTCTTTGTATTGGACTGAAGAAGCCACTGGCTGGCAAAATGTTTCTAGAATAAAGAGTCCCAAATGTTGCTCAAGAGCCTTAATTATTAATGTCAGTTTTTTAGAGCATTTATATATATAAACAATTACATTGATGCTTGAGCATGGCTTTCTGCAATTAATAATCTCTACTATTATCAAGCAGAAAAGATATAAAGAATATTAAAGTGGTTGATGAATCTAAGCTAGTGAAAAAATAGGCAGAGAAATTATCATAGAGATGGAAAGACTGTTGTCATTGTACATAAGAGAGAAACAGATGAAAGATACAGTAACTGCAAGTTATATCTGTGAGTGTGCAAGTCCAAGCTACAGTAAAAGTTGCTCTTCCTAGGTCTTAGAACAAATTATCATAAAACCATGTATTTTGGGTTTGAGTTATGATTCGTCATCGGAACAAATTGATATTATAACTCATGGGACCACTGTACTATTTTTTTTTTATTCCACTGTATCGTGATTTTTATTCTGTCCAAAATAGTAATAATTTTTGACATATATAAGTTCTCCATGGGGAAGTGGAACAGAATTCTTCCTCCATAAGCCATGCGTGTCGTAAGAGGCGACTAAAATGCCGAGAGCAAGGGGCTAGTAACCCCTTCTCCTCTATGTATTAAATTTAAAAGGAGAAACTTTCGTTTTTCCTTTTGGGCCACCCCACCTCAGTGGGATACAGCTAGTTCGTTGAAAGAAAGAAAGAATATACAGTGGACCCCCGTATAACGATCACCTCCGAATGCGACCAATTATGTAAGTATTTATGTAAGTGCGTTTGTACGTGTATGTTTGGGGGTCTGAAATGGACTAATCTACTTCACAATATTTCTTATGGGAACAAATTCGGTCAGTACTGGCACCTGAACATACTTCTGGAGAGAAAAAATATCGTTAACCGGGGGTCCACTGTATATAAGTAACACAGTATTACCAATTGGTCCTTTCCACTTATCAGCAGGGAGCAGATTTTATAATGTATTTTTTTTCCTTAAACCAGTCACTGCCATGTATTAAACTCACTAGCTTAAATCACAACTATATATTTTAGGGAATTTAAGTAGTTTTAGTTTGATTCTGCCATAAATCTGTGCATGTATCAATTGTACCCTTTTTCAGAGAATAAAGCACATTATTATTATTATTACTGTATTATTATTATTATTATTACTGTATTATTATTATTATGTATTATTATTATTATGTATTATTATTATTATTATTATTATTTGCCAATTTATAACTTTATAAACAAAATTTTTGTGTATGTGTGCAGAAGAGGCTAAAGTGATGATCAGACCCACAACGGAAGTGTCAGTAAGGAACAAGTACGTGTGTGGTGTGAAGGGTACTCAGAGACTTGGACGAGTGGTGGGAGGGGAGGATGCCCTTCCTGGAGAGTGGTGCTGGCAAGTGGCACTCATCAACTCCCTAAACCAGTACCTGTGTGGTGGAGCACTCATTGGCACTCAGTGGGTTCTTACTGCTGCTCACTGTGTAACTAAGTAAGTGACACATGCATAGGTAAAGTTAGTTTATTACAACTTAAATCAAATCTCCAGCTTTATGATTATGATTACACTGCTTATGAAAGTGTTGTGAGCTTTCATATCACTCTCATACAGTACAATTTTTTATATGGAACTGTATTAATGAAGTCGACTAATCCAAACATCTTCACTTATCTTGTTTTGATACAGTAAACACTTGTATAAAACACTTATATAGTGTCATTTGTTGTAAATACAATTGAAAATATTCATGATAAATTGAATAGCATGTACAGTACTATGGAGGCCTTTTCATGTGCTATTCAGTATTGGGTGAATTTTTTCTATTACATTTACAAACAATTTACTATATAGAGTACTCTTATTAAGTGAGCTTACTGTACACTTAAAAAATACAAACATGAAAGTCAGCTTCTCACATTTAGTCAAAATAAACTCCATTAAGTTGCAGTCAGATTCCCTAATTTGCAGTTGTCAAAATTCACTTGCTTTCAGGCTAAAGCCTGATAGTACAGATGTCTATGCCATTCCTGGTTACACAGCCATACACAACTATAGGCCAGACCAACAAGGGGGTGGCACAGCCATATACTACTCAGACCAACTAGAATGTATCACTAATACTTGCACAAGGGATGAACATGGGGAATATATAATAGCTAAATTCAAATCCAAATACCTACAAAAACCTCTCACATTGATAAACATCTACAGAGTTCCACAGTCAAACATTAGCCAATTTAGTCAACCTAGGAAGTATGATAACTGATGCACGCATGAACAAAGATCACTTACTACTCTCAGGTGACTTCAATATAAATCTCCAGCAAGACCAGGACCCACACGTTACTGAATTCACAAACACAATGAGTAACTGTATGTTACTACCAACAGTAACAAAACCTACAAGAGTTACAGAGACTAGTGTTTCCCTACTTGACCACATCTGGACCAACACCATATCCCCTTTAAAATCAGGCATAATTACAGACCACTACTCTACTTTCCTCATAACAACTCTTGGTAAACTACCCCAAGACACTACTAAAGTCACCTTCAGACTTCACAATGAGGCAGCCATTAATAACTTCACAACAGCAGTAGCAAACATTGATTGGCACACTGAGCTAGAAATCTATACAGATATTGACGAATGTATTAATAATTTTCTAAAAAAGACCCAATACCTCTATAACAAGCACTGCCCTAAAAAAACTAAACAGATGACAGCTAAGAGACTGAACAGTCCCTGGCTAACACCCAGCATTCTCAAATCCATAAATACAAAACACCAATATGAAAAACAGTACAGAATGGGTCACATAACCAGAAACCAAACAAACGTTACTCGTCAATCCTAACCAGCCTGATAAGAAGGGCAAAAAAATTGTATTATGAGAAACAGATTATCCAACTTACGAGGTGATATAAAAAAGACCTGGAAAACCCTATCAGAAATTCTGGGAACAAAAAAGATATCACGAAATAGCGAAATAAAATTAGCAAAATCAGATGAACCCCAACTCCCACCAACAGAAACAGCAAACAGACTCAATGATTTCTTCTCCACTATAGGACAAAACCTTGCCAATAAAATCCCAAGCTCGGATACCTCACCAAATGACTACCTCACCGGCAACTACCCGAACACACTGTTCCTAGCTCCGACTAACCCTTACGAAGTCTCCCTTATTATCAATGCACTTAAAAACAAGGCAGGAGATTTAAATACCTTACCACCCTTTATATACAAAAAACTGTCACAAGTGCTATCACCAATCATTGCAACACTCTTTAACAAATCCATAGAATCATCCACCTTCCCTACAGTACTCAAAATAGCAAGGGTCACCCCGATCCACAAAGGAGGAGACCAAACAGAGTTGAATAACTATAGGCCAATATCCAACTTACACCCTCTCTCAAAAATCTTTGAAAAATTAATTCATAAACGAATCTACTCCAACCTTATCTCCCAAAACATACTCAACCCCTGCCAATTTGGATTCAGGCCTAATAAAAATACTAATGATGCTATTATACACATGCTAGAACATATATACACTGCAATAGAGAAAAAAGAAGTCCCACTGGGGATCTTCATTGACTTACGTAAAGCTTTTGATACAGTTGACCATGACTTGCTCCACGTAAAATTGTCACACTATGGTATAAGAGGGCACTCCCTCAACTACCTCAAGTCATACCTCAGCAACAGAAGCCAATATGTGTACGCAAATGGGGCACACTCTTCTGCGCAACCAATTACAGTTGGTGTCCCACAGGGAAGTGTCCTTGGCCCTCTTCTCTTTCTCCTATACATAAATGACCTTCCAAATGCTTCGCAATTACTCAAACCCACACTATTTGCAGATGACACTACATACGTCTTCTCTCACCCGAGCCCAGTCACGCTAGCCTATACTGTAAATACCGAATTACAGAAAATATCTACCTGGATGAGGACTAACAAACTTACACTAAACATTGACAAAACCTACTTCATTCAGTTTGGTAACAGAGCTAAAGATGTCCCTCTTAACATAATGATAAATGGATCACCTATCACAAAGCTAACAGAGGGAAAATTCTTAGGAATCCACCTTGATAATAGACTCAAATTTATACACATATACAACAAATTTCTAAGAAAATTTCCAAGACTGTAGGCATACTATCGAAGATACGGTACTATGTTCCACAGTCAGCCCTCCTGGCCCTATATCACTCTCTTATTTTACCCTATCTCACCTATGGAATTTGTGCATGGGGCTCAACAACAATTAACCATCTCAGACCACTAATTACCCAACAAAAGGCTGCAGTTAGAATGATAACAAATTCTCACTACAGGCAGCACACTCCACCAATATTCAATACACTAAACCTACTCACCATACAAAACATCCATACTTATTACTGCACCTATTACATACATAGAACACTTAACTCTGATTTTAACCCTCCCCTCAAACATCTCCTTGCCAACCTCAACAGAACACATGACCATAACACAAGGCACAGATCACTCTTTGATGTTCCTCGTGTCCATCTCACACTATGCAAAAACTCAATGCACATAAAAGGCCCTAAAATCTGGAATTCATTACCTGTAAATATAAAAGAAACACTACCTGTTTATAAATTCAAGTCTCTTCTCAAAGATCACTTACTCACCCAAAACCAAATAAATACTGAATAACTGAACCTTATAAATTGTATATCTTAACCCTTTCAGGGTCCGTCCCGTAGATCTACGGCTTTACGTTCAGGGTCCAAACCGTAGATCTACGCCATGAGTTCAGCTCACTCTGATAAACTGTGAGTGGTACATTTGGGCCTAGATATGATTGAATACATCTATGTGGTATGTGTGCACCACATAAAACAGATCCTGCAGCACACTGTGTATAATGAGAGAAAAAAAATGAAATCATGATTTTTCGATTAAAACAGCAACTTTGCAGTGTTTTTTCGTATGTTTTTTATAGTTGTATTTGCGATTTCTTGGTCTCATTTGATAGAATGGAAGACATATTGCAGAAATAGAGATGATTTTGATTGGTTTTAGCATTGGAAATGGTTTGAAACTGAGCTCAAAGTAGCGGAAATGTTAAATTTTTGCCGATATTCAAGAGTAAACAAACGACCTCACACATCTAATACACGTCAGCTGGTGGGTCTAATATACATTCACAAATATGGTGATGATATTTATACAATTATTACAGTATTGCATAAGAGTAAATCTTCTATTTTTTGGTGTGAATAAAAATTCATTATGTGAATAAAAAATCAAAATGGAACTATTTGTAAAGCCTCAAAACATAACTAATGAACAGAGGAAATGTTAGTTTAGTGCAGGAATGCCTACATTGTTCATTCTGGACCCTATTTTGAAATTGGAATTTTTGAACTTTTTTAAATTGGCCAAATTAAAAATTTTCCGATCCTTTTTTTGTATTTAAAAACGTTGACTTGGCGTTTTTTGTCTCAATCGATAGAAGAAGAAATACTATAAATTTCTAAGAATTTGGTTGATGGAAAAATGAAATTTGGGCCTAAAATGGAGTAAAAAGTCAGAAAAAAATCGCCGTTTCGTAAATATCGGAACATAAAAAATTCGCGAAGCATAATTTCGTAAATTTCCCCCAAATTTCGACTTTTTTTTTTTATTACCTTCACAAAAAGATTTTCGATTTCATAAGAAAAAATAAAAAATTTTTTTTTTTGAAAATTCTTTGGCACTGGGGCGTACCCGATTTGGGCCTTGGCCCCAAGGTTTAAAAGTTTTTTCCCCAATTTTATCACTAAAGTTAAACCAAAACCCCAACTAAATTTATTATTTTTTTAAAAACACACCAACAGAATACTCCATACACGAATTACAAAAATGCAGCAACTATATGACCTGTCTTTGTAATACCCATTGTGCTTTATAGTTATCTGTTTACAATAATGTATTTTCACTGATTTCATCATTGCTTAGTTAATTTTAACGCCTGAAATGCTAGCATAGTATAATTGGGTTTGGCATCGTCTTATCTGTATTTTTTTGTACCTCGTATGTATGCTCAAATTTTTAAATAAATAAATAAATGTACACCGAATGTCTCTTGCACATATTTTTACTTTTTGTTTTTGTTTGGTGGTTCCTTTGTTTACCCAAATTTTCCTTTAATTTTTGGGCCCTTTTTTTTAAATAAACAATATTAAAAGAGGATGAAACAAAACAATGACCTCTGAAACTCAAAATAAATCTTTCTTCTTTCTTTCAACAAACCCGGGCCCCTACCCCACCGAGGAGGGTGAATCAGAGGGGGAATGCGAGGAGGAGAGAGTTTTGGGAGATGTTAATAAATGTATAGGCCTTTAAACCCAAGTAGAGAGTAATTGGGTTTGGGGACCGATCTAAATAGGAAAAATTTTTAGAGGGGGTGGGGTAGGTAATTTGGGGGGTGCCAGTTAAATGATAAGGGGAGCCCTTTTTGATT